AATTAGCCTTTGACAATCCAGCTCTCTTGTGTAGCCTGACAAAACAATGTGGATGTCAATATATTCCTGGCTCTGCTGACCCAGGAGATAATTAGAATCTGATGTTAGGAGAGTGGGTCAGCTCCTCTGACTAAACTTTGTCCGCTCTGCTCAGTTTACAAGACCTCTTTTCTTTGGGTTATGAAACCTAGAGTAAGTAAATGTTCTCTTCAGGAAGAGGAAAAAAGACGTGAAGAAAATGGTTCCTTTCTAAGTAAAGGCCATTCCAGTGACCAAAGTTTTTAAGAGTTGGTGGTGTTTTCTGAGAGCAAACCATACACACCCAATTTAGGGATCATTAGTTAATGTCATTTATAAAGTACTCTGAAGATGAAAAGCAATAAATATATAAACACACTTCAGATGCTTCGTATTGATTGGAAGTTGGTTTAACTATTGCTTTAGTAGTTGGAAAAGCACCCAAAGTGAGTTATTGTGTGTGAAGGTAAAGGCCAAGGTCATTAATTATTGCCACCTAGAAGCCTAGTATAACTTACAAAATAAATCTGATCTTGTCGCAGAACTAACCCCAGAGCATAATAGAAAGTATAGAAATACAGAAAACTAGTGTTCAAGTGCAGCTGCGTATTATGTATAGAGTTAAATAAGTTATAAGATAACTTGGTGATTTTACAATATATCATAATAATTAAGTCTGACAAGTTTTAAATATATACTAATCAATTACCCAACAATTTGTTCAAGAGGATAATAAACAATGTCAGCTTTTTCAACATAGCTCATTTTTTTCAGTAGTTTTATTTACTGATTATTAAAAGATGTTTGCTCTGATAAATCCAGATGGTCAGCTATTTATTTTGCAAAGGGAAATTAATAAAATTATCAACATGGTATTACTATTGGTTGGACATTTAGTTGTTTATGAGTGGAGACTGGAAAGGGGAATAAAACTTGGAAGTGAATGAGTCTTGTTTATGAATCTCAGCATTCTCTTTTTCCGCTCTTCTTTCATTTTCTCTTTTTATTTGCCATGGAAAAAATGTCTAGATCTTTTTCAATAATCTCATAAATAGTCATTACACATTTCCTCGCAGTATCTGATTGATGGTTGGTGCTCTTGCACAGAGGCATTTTTGTTGGTTCAGGGAAGAGGTGAGTGAGAATAGCATAGCCACTGGTGTGCCAGTCTCCATGCTGAGTGATTTAAGGACCGTGTGTGCGCATATTGTAAAGTGCCATGTGAGGTGTTCTAGTCATTTGTAAGTGTACTCCAAAGATCTAAGTTTTAGGTTTTTGGTCTCCAGTGAGGCATTCTTGGGAGACGTGGATCTTTTAAGAGATAGGAGGTGTGCTGAGTGGATAGGGAGGAGAACTCGTAGTTTATTGGGTAGGAAAGTTTGGGAGCATTTGTAGTTTCTGTTGACCCAGACATCACTTACTCTGGAGGAATGAAATGCGACTCATTTATTTACTCTAAATGAAATAATTACTTTTGAGTTATTTTTTAAAATAGACACAAAAAGAATCTATTCGTGTAACACATGGTATCACCATCACATTTAGCTTTTCACAAATCAAGTAGATTAGGAAACAGACTTCCAATTGGCATTATCTAGCAGACAACTTTAATTCCAATGACAGCAAACAGGATGTACCAATTGCAGGAGCCTTGCCTCCTGTTCTGGGTTTGTTAGGCTATTGTATTCTTGTTGCTGCTGAGGGTGGATGAGGGCCTATTTCAGGTGGCATGGTGATCAACCCTTCTTGACAGCTGATGGGAAGTACCACATTCATTTCCTCTTCCTGAGAAGACTGCATTCATATACTGTACCTATGTGGGAATCATTCAGAGAATGAGGCATATTGTTGCAATTTTATATTGTTCACTCACGGACAGGACTAAGTCTCTTTTATTTGATCATTTGTAATCCTAAGAAGTATAGAATTAGAGCTAGGCATTTTATTATTATCACCTTAGAATTACATTTAACCGGCTTATTTCTTTAAAAAAAATGAAGAGGTGAAAGCCTAAGATATTATGAATAACAATTTTCACTTCTACATGGAAATCCTTTTGTATAAGTATTTAGAGAAAAAAAACCCCATAATCTGAAGAGAATTGCTTTTCCATTTGAATCTGAGGTTTGCATAGATTAAGCACTCTAACTTCGTGGATTACACATTTATAAAACTGTAAAACTTACTCATCCTATAATGATGCCACCCCCACCCCATGAGCTAATGAAACATATTAATTTCTGCCCAATTGACGGATGTTTAGCCGAACTCCAGTTAGCGACTTTGGCAACTTTATCTGGGATGAGATGATGTAGGGCTATGTCTGCAGGCATTTGGATTAAGAAGGGACACTCCTAGGGTCTGGGGTAGGGAAGCAGTCCAAGAGCAGAGATCCTCTAAAGGAAATTTGTATTGTCTGAATTCTTGGGAGTAAGCAGCACAAAATCTTGTTTAGCCCTGCATTAAAGCAAAACTATTATTAATTATGCAAGCATTTTTTTGATGGGTAAAAGAATTTAGAATGACTCAGCAGGAGATTTCAAAACCAATGCCTCTACCTGCTTTATTGAACATGCTCTTCTTTTTTTTACATCTGCTGTCTGCTCTGGGAGTTAGGTTTCCAATCTTCATGGGGAGATCACCATCACCGGTGCGGAGGTCTCCAAGAGATTCCTGGCTCTGCCAAGAACATTAAAGCAGCTCAGTTCCACCTGGTCCTTCTATCCTTCCGCTGACATTGCAAGTACACACTTCTTCCAGGGTAACCTCTTGCTTTTCTTTAATAAGCATAAAACCTGGCCAAATTTCCAAAGCAAAGACTGGAGCTTCCTGTCAAAGGTGTGTGTGTGTGTGTGTGTGTGTGTGTGTGTGTGAGAGAGAGAGAGAGAGAGAGAGAGAGAGAGAGAGAGAGAGAGAGAGAGAGAGAGAGAGAGAGAGAGATCATACTTCTCTCCCTAGGTGAAACTTTCCAATATTGATGGGAACTTGGGAAAGGGGCAGAGTTTATAAAAGATGCTGAAGCAAGTACAGATTTCTTCCAGTTCTTGCTAAAAGGATAGTTAAGGGTTTTGATGGAAGAGGAAAGCCCATCAATCACCAGTCCACCCCCTCCCCCCCCCCCTCCCGCTTCCCGGAAGCTTGGGGGAGGTCTTCTCACCTATATTGGAAACTGTTTACAGATGTGGGGAAACCTAGGCATTGCTCACAGCAGGGGGCGTGCAGAATTTCCTGATTATTATTGTTACTTTCACTCCCCCCCCCCCCCCCCCCGTACAACTCCCCTTCTCCAATTTCTCACAAACCTGTCTTTGTGTTCAGCTGTCTGCTCGGGCTGACATTGTGGTTTTACCTCGCGGATGCGTCCTGCCAGGTTTTACGGTCCCTGTCTTCTGCAGAAGTGAAGCTAGTGAAAGCCAGAGAGGATCCCGAGCCGTTCTGAGCTTGGGCGCCAGAACTGTCACAGAAAATCTGCTTGCCAAGTATCCCATCCAACTTCCCTCCCTGCGTCCACGTGAGCCCCCAAAGCCTTCGTGTTTCCTGCCTCTGCAATCTGTAACTCGACTTGGTAGCATCATCATCCACCACGACTTATTGCAATGCGGTCTTAAGGATCTCAGTTCTTAGCAAAACTTTGTGGGTGGGTTGGAGACTCTCACCGTAGCGTATTTTCTTACCTAAATCGTTTCATGGATCGATGAGACACTTCTTTTCCATTTCTGGGCTGCCTCGAAGGTTAAAAAAAAAGCAGCAAAGGAAAGAAACACCCTGGCTGCTGATTTGGGGGGGGGGGGCTACCCAAAGAGGGGGGAGAAGGGAAAGAGATTTGCAGCTTCACCGTCACGATCTCGCGCGCCACCCCCGGTCTGGCACTCTCCACAACCAACACGCTCACCCGTCCCTCATCTCTTAATTGCTGGGGTGGGGTGCGGGGGGGGGGGGAAGACGAGGACCCTCAGATATTCGTTTTTTTCAAATCGTCCGTAAAATATAAACGGAATGGTCAGCGCTCTCGCGTCTGTTTGTTTGTTTAAGGCTATCAAACGAAGTCAGAGGAGACCGGCTGTGGCCCGGATTCTGACCCTGATTGTATGAATAAGTAAGCAGGATGCAAGTGATTGGGTTAGATGCTACGAAGGTTTTTTTTTTTTTTTTCAAGTTAGGAAGAGGGTAAAAAAGACAGCCCGGTTGGGGAGACGAGGGTGGGGGAGTGGAGAGGGGGGGAAAAAGGCGATCGGTGGCTTCTCCCCCCTCCCCAAATCCTCCCACTTTCGCTCTCCTGGCAGGCAGTGGCTGGGCTGGCTCCCGCCGGCTCCCCAGGTCTCCCGGCGTGGCCGTGCCTGCCCCCCACCCCCTTCCTCGGTCTCCCCTTTCAGTTCCGATGTGCTGATGTGCAGACCGGATTCATCTGCCCGGAGCGGCGGCGGCGGCGGCGGCGGCGGCGGGCGCAGGCGGCGGCTCGCGCTCGGCCGCGGGGTCCGCACAGCGGCGGGGGCGCGGCGCGGGAGGAGGCCGGGCGCGGGGGGCCGCTGAGCCCCGGCTGCGGCCGCGGGAAGTCCAGCGGGCTATCCTCCCTCCACCCCCCTCCCACGGCCCCCCCCCACTTCCCCTCCCCCAGGACGACCTGTCCGGGCTGGAGTCCACTTCCCTGCCCCTCCTCACCTTGCCCCTCCGCCCACCCGCAAGGTTCCCCGCTCCATCCCCGGCCAACTTCTCCCCCCCCCCCCATTCCCCGCCCCGGGCGCAGCTCCGGGGGCGCACGGGGCAGTGCTGACCCTCTCCACCGTCCCGGACGCACCCGCATGTCTCGGGACACCTGAGCTTCCCCCGGGGGGGCGAAGGTCGATCGTGCCGAGGAGTCTCCCGTGACGAGGTGGGGGGGGAGCAGAGCACCCACCGCGGGGTCCCCCCCTCCTCACCCTCCCCCCTGCTCGCGCGCCCTGCGCTCCCGCCGCGTCCGCTCCTTTCCCTCTCCCGGGAGGAGGATGGGGCTGGAGGCGCGGCGGCCGGCGATGCTCGCGTGGCTGCTGGTGGCCGCGGGGGTCGTGCTGTGCGCGGGTCTTGGGGGTGATTACGCATGGGATGGCGACGAGGAGGAGGACCGGACGGAGACTTTAGATTACAAGGACCCGTGCAAAGCCGGTGAGTGCTTCCCTCGGTCCCACTCCTCGCGCGCGCTCTCCCGGCGTCGGGACGGTGGCGCGCCGGGGGCGCCCGCCTACTTGGACTTCCGATGGGTTGGCGGTGGGAGAGCTCACCTGTTTCCCTCCCCTCCCTCGCGGCCCCTCCGCCGCCCTCCTCCTCCTCTCCCCCCCTCCTCCCTCCTCTCCACTTCCCAAGTTGCCTGGAGTTCCCAGCTGGGAGGATCGCGATTCCCCCCCCCCCCCCACCCGCGCCCCATAGTTTGGAGACAAATGTCCCGGCCCCGTTTCGGACCCTCCCCACCCCTCCCCGGCGAGACGGAACAGGTCACCCATCCCACCCAACCGGGTGGGCACGGGTGGCAGCCCAGATTCCCCCCCCCCCCGCAGCCTCTCCTCCGGCCAGGAATCTCAAATGTGGGGGGGAGGCCGGGGTGGAAGCGGACTGGGGCAGCAGCGGGAAGAACTAGAGGATTCCCAAGCTCGTGCCCATTCCCGAGAAATGTTTCCGTCCCCCGCCCCCCCCCCCCCCCCCCCGCCCAGGTAACCCCGTTCGAACTTGGTGCGGACGTTCCCTGGGAGCCGCACTCGGGCCCGCACAGTGGGAACCCGGCTTCTGGTGGTCCCTCCCCTAAGCCCCCCCCATCCCGTCCCGTCCCGTCCCAGCAGCCCTTCCCCGCACCTGGTGGCTTCGCCGCACCTCCCCTCTCCTCACCTGGCCCCGATTCTTCCCCCGCCGCCGAGGTGCCCGGCGCGCCCCCCTTACCCCCACCCCCGGGGTTCCCAGCGCTGGCGGCTGCACGGTCCGATCACTGCGGGGTTGTGGTGGGGGGGGGGCACGGCTAGTGTGGACTCCTGACAACTTTGAAAGAAGATTGCACAAGGTCAACTTGGTCACCCAAAGTTGTGTGCTTAGGAGAAGGGTGGAGAGGGTGGGCGAAGCATGGGGTCTGTGGATGCCCTCCCCAGAGTCTAGGGCTAGTATTCCTTCCCTCCCACAGCAGGGCAAACCTTACTCCCCCCTCCTCCTCCCCCCCTCCAGCCCTGAAGGATCCTATCCAAGGGAAGGGAAAACTGGAAACTACCTAATTAATTTTTAAGGTGTGTGTGTGTGTGTGTGTGTGTGTGTGTGAGATGAAATCCTCAGATCTTTTTTTTCCTTTGGTGAACCCTCAGAATGATACTTCAAAAATTCACCGTGGCTTAGTAGAACAAGTTGTCAGTCTGGATCTGACAATGCTGATGTAGTTCAATGTGGCTTTCAAGTTCCCTCCCATGACCTTAAGCATTCAATCTGTGTTCCCACCCCAAGTGCCCTGGGGCTCCCCCATGAGCTTGCACAAGATGACAAAACTCTCTAAGGCGAGTGACTGAGCAACTCCACACATGTGCTAAGATGGTTTGGGTAATGTTTACAACTCCATGAAAACTGTGTATTTCTTGTTTGTGGTAAGGTACCCATAAAATACATTATTTATAATATGGGCTAGGGAAAACTCTCTCTTTTTTATTTTTCCTTTAGTGCCAGTACTCTGGGGCCTTGGACACTTTTACTACATGAGCCAAACTTCCACTTCTGGCTTTTTGTTAATTAACTAGAGAGAAGAGTCTCATGGGTTTGTCTGTCTGGGATGGCTTCGAACCTTGATCCTCAGATCTCAGTGTTCTCAGTGCTAAGATTAGGTGTGAGACATCCAGACCTGGCTGGAAAACATCCCTTTTAATACTATGTTGTGTGAAAGATTTAATCTGCCACCAATATGTATTTAAACATACCTCAAGCATAGATGTTTATTTTCCTCAGCAAATAAACATCTAAGGAAGGGGGAGGGGAGGGACCCCTTTGGTGGCATTTCCTCTTTATGATGGGATTATTTATTTATTGAATTTTGGGGCTGTCTTTGTGCTTGTGGGCACTGTGACATCTGAGCCACACACCAAAGCTGAATCAGGTTTATTTTCTAACATAGATATTGAAATTAGAATGACTTAGCATGTATTATTATTTTATTCCTTATTTTAAATGAAAGAGGCATGGCTCTCTCTCTCTCTCTCTCTCTCTCTCTCTCTCTCTCTCGCACGCGCGTGCGCGCGTGCGCGCGCGTGCACACACACACACACACACTCTGTATGTATGTGTATCTGGTAAGAAAATAAGAATGTCAAGAGGAAACTTAAGCCGTATTCACAGAATTTGTGATCTCCTTTATAATGATCTATTGTATTTTTAAAGAGTTTTACGTTAACTAGTTGTACAAAGGGATTTCTATTCTACAGGTCAGATTATGAGTACAATGAACCTTGATCAGTGTTACTTCTTCCATTGTTCTTCCTATCTTTCCCAGTCCATCCATACCCTCGAGTTACTACCCCATTTTTAAACCGAGTGAAATGCAGGATTTATGATCTTGGCCAAAGAGTGGCAAAAACCTCACTTGCCTCACTTTTAGCACAGCATAAGACGAATGAAACTTGTAATCACAGGAAAATCATGAATACATTAGAATCCCAAGCCTGAGTCAAAGGAAGGTCAAAAGCCCAGAAGGATGAGAATGGATTTGTGAAAGATAGCTGCACAAAAGCAAAGAGAGAGTTTCTAGTGAGTGGATCTGGCCCTGGCCCAAGGCCTGTCTGGAATAAAGGCCCTTTTCCAGACTTCCCTCAAAAAATGTGTTAATATTCCTTAAAATCCCCAGTGGCGTGGTATCATGCTGACAAACATAGCTTCACGGTTTGAAAGCATTTCTGAGCACATAGTGTTAGCTGATGTTCATAGTATATGCAGATTTTGTTAATCTTCCCAGTTTACAGATATGAAAAGAGATGCTGAGTGAGGTTGAATGGCTCGTTCGGATTCTCCAGAACTGAATTCCAGTTCTCTTGATGTCCAAGACTGGCAGTATTGAATGATCATATTGCCTTCGTTGCTGGCCTTGGGAGCCCTTCCTTGAGATACAGATATAGAAGTTAGGTCAGGTTAACCAATGCTGACTAACAGAGATAGGAGAAGTGGCTTTGAGAATGTGCTTCCTTATTTTCCAACCTTAAGGCTTCAATGGTAGAGGTTCTTAGTTGATTTTTAATGTTTATCCTAAATTACTAGAATATTACAATTAAGAATCCAGTTAGTATGTTCTAGGTAACTTCTTTATCTACGTGGGCTGGTACTTGTCCTATCTGCAAGTTTCTATTCCAAATGAGATCAAAGTCATGTTACCCAGGAAGGAGTACTCAGTTATAGTTTGTCAAAAATTGTAGTGTCCTTAATGTACTTACGAATTTGAAGGTAATTGTGTACCTATAAAGGATTCTGATTTTGAGTTTAGGACATTATACGAAAAGAGTCTTGTATTCATTTGATTGCATTTTGATTTAGGTGTTTTTGGCATAAGTGAGAGTGAGTAGTTTCGTGTGGTACAGCTTCAGATATGTTAATATAACCAAATCCATCAGGATAGACAGTAGATACTTGTGACACACACACACACACACACACACACACACACACACACACACACACACACAGACAGGTAACCCTAAGGACCGTCTGCATTACTTTGTTCAGTGCAGTGCATAGTCACCTGAATATGCAATCAGATTTCTCTCAATCTGGACTTCAGAAGGGCCCCAGAGGACCTTGGGAAGCTGATGCTGCAAGACCTTCCCTTAGAGCAGGGACTGAGTGTCTTGTTTCATTGTCCCAATACATCAATAAATGTCCATCTGATGCATAACATCTATGAAGCATCTGGGCAAATTCAGTGAACAAAATGTTAATTTTCTGCAAGATTTGTGTAGAGATTGCCTGGACAAGTAAAGACCTGATGAACTAACTGCCTTATCACCTATTTCCCTCCCTCCTTTCTTTCCTCTGTCTGTCTCTTCCTCCCTCTCTCCCTCCTTCCCTCTCTCCCTCTTTCCCTCCCTCTCTTTCTCCTTTCCTTTCTCGATTTCTCCATCCTTTCCCTCCCTCCATTTCTTCTTTTCCTTCCCTCCTTTCCTCCCTCCCTCCTTTCCAGACTTTCATTGTTTCTTTTCTTTCTTCTTTCTTTTTTTTTGTGGTTAAGAGTGTATTAGGAAATACTAGACAACACACTATGTAGTAAAGCAGATAGACTAAATTAGTATCTAGGATATTAAGTAGAATGTTAGAAGTCTGATAGAATAAAAGTTTGTTCAGAAGAGTATCTTCATTCTCTGTAGACATATGTGGGTTCTATGAAAAAGAGACTTTTTAATTCTGAGTAAATGGTTTTTTTCCTCCTTGGGGAAAAAACAGAATATGATTATGCACCAATGAAGGCAAGATTGAGGTTGTCTTTTGAAGAACTCAGTACGACTGTTGATGTAGAAAGAAGCTTTGATATCCTAGAGAACTCATTCTACTTAGCTTCATAATCAGAGTTTTAGTGTCGGGTTAAATTTCATAAGTTTATAATTTATAGACAAGACTCTGTCTCTCCCTCTCTCCCTCTCTCTCCCCCTCTCTTTCCCTCTCCCTTCCCCTGCCTTCCTCAATGTTGTACTTTCTGGCTGAACTGACAGCTCCTAGGTGTGGCACCTCAGAACTTGATTCCATCACAGTTTGACATACCCAAACATTTATTTCTCCATTGGCGCCTCTCGAGACTGCCAAGCTCTCATTAAAAATATATATTTCAGTGAGCTGCTCCTCCTTACCAGTCTCTGTCGTCATACTTCTTCATTTCTTACATCTTGAAAAAATAATTTTCTCCTCCAGCCTCTGGTACTGACTCAGAAAGTGGCTGAAGTACAGTTTTTGCAAAAAGGGGCAGATGAAACTTTCTTTCTGTGTATTAAAGTTCCATTCTCTGTGTGCCAGGAATAATTCTCTAGCTCTCGTCTGGAAAGCCTGGGCTGTTCTGGTTCACAAGTGGCAGCTACTGCTAATAAGTATGGAAAAGGGTTATGTTTGCTTGAATGGGTCTCCTCCCCTCCCTTCCCACCCCTCCCCTTCCTCCTCTTTCTTCCACTCCTTTG